CCCCCAAACCGCCGGTCCTCCCTCTACCCCCGGCCCTCTCACGCCCTGGACTAGTTTGCCCCATTCTCCCGATGAAGCCATCCGCGCCCCGCCCGTCCCTGCCACTGTTCCGCGGCCAAGATTAAGACGCTCATCCGGCCTCAGGAAGTGGGGCCACGCCATAATGAAGATGGAGATAAGTCCTGTAGATTGTGCAGACAACTCGCACAGGGCTGTTCTTCCAAGTTGGATCGAGTAGAATTATATTTGGAACGATGTGTCGTTTCGAGATTAATATTTTAGAAATGAGGGAGACTGTACTGAAAAATGTTCCCAGAGAGTACTTTTGAGGAGAATGAGGAGTGTTTGAAAAGGACTCACATGTTATCAGACACACACAATTTTTTTTCTTATTTATTTCGAATAACACTATGTTTGATCGTGACTGCGCACTTTCATCTTTACAGTAGTTTTGTTTTCATAAATTTTGAAAGATGATGAGCTTGTTGGGATGGAAATTACACTAGAGGGCTCTTATATGAGCCCAGATCTGACTAGATCAGATAATAAATAAATTATTATTACTCAAGCGGTCATAATAAAATAATTTAAATAGTTTTAACGGTAGCACGTGTTGATCATCACAAGGTATCGTTTCTATTGATTAGCCGATCACGTATTTCAAGTTGGCAGCATGAATCCTAGAATATTTCTAACAACTTTTTAGACAGTCCCCAAGCCTCCTTCCCCCTCTGTGTAACTCAAAGCATGTCGCACGTGTTTGGCGGGCCACGGGCCGCCATGCCACCTGTCCCCGGCAGATCGTCGTGGACTGTTATTGTGGACCGTCGAAGAGCAAGATTCAAGTAACACGCAGCCATAAGCAAATGACAGCTTAATATGAGAGAAAAATAGAACCCAAACCAGAGGTCTGTTTTTCAATTTGTATCATCTGCTTTCAAGATCGATTCTTGATTGAGATTATTTTAGATCATAAGACGAATTTTCGGGAGCCCGGCGCCTGCAAGACTCGGGATAGGCCACCCCGCAGTACATGTATGTATTGAAGACGAGATGTTGCCTATCTATCAGGCGCTAGAGCCTGCTTGCTTAGATTGAACTTGAAGGTTTCAAGGTTTGCAACGGCAAATGACGGACGTACTTTCTGGACTATCACTTTCTGGTCTGGCCAAGGGGACTGTCTCTTTCTGAGCCCTTTGGGCCAATTTATAAATACACATCTATCAGATAATTACTCTACTGGCAAGAACACTTTTTTGTACATGGCTAACTAATAGATGCACCTCTACTTCCCCGTCTACACCTTGAAAAACACCTACGTTGTTTTGAGCAAAGCTTTTACTTTCATCACAAATCAGCAGTTCTATCACGAACGCCTGTTGCTTCATAGTTATACACACAACTTACCGGTTACATGCATGATTATCACACTGAAAATTATGATAGTAACTACGAGGCGTGCAGCCTCCGCAGAAGTTTGATTTGACATTAGGGCATCACGCCTCACGCGATACGTAGCTATGTTCGTACACTGGAAAAACTAATGTTACCATGGTAACGTTTCATCATGTGACCAAGACCGGTAACGTTTCCTGACGCGACCTACCCCATGCAAAAGGATAGGGTCATCACAAACTGGTTGCATCACCAAACGTTACCTGGTTTGGTCGCGTCAAGAAACGTTACCTCGGTAACGTTAGTTTTTCCAGTGTAGCACGCAGCAGAAAATGGCACGGACGTCTCGACTGCATAACAGGGCGTTTTTATCATGAAGATAGATTGAGCAGCCGAAAGGTCTCGGTAAAATCCGACAGCAGAGCAGAATCGAGCAAATTGCTCGGGCCAAGCAGGGGAGCGGTCCGCATAATACATTTTGCCCGAATCCACCCGAAAATGAGACGACGATTCAATCAGAGCGGCAAAACAGCAATTCTCCCGGTGCAGCGAGGCGTGCGGGCGGCGGCGGCGTTGGCGGCGACGACCTCGCTGTCGAATCCGTCGCCGCACAGCGCCGAGCTGTTCACGTTGAAGTTCCTCGGCCCGGCCGAGGTGGGGCCCCCGGACGTGGAGGTGACTAGAGCTGGCCCGGGGCCGCGCCCGCAGCGCGCTCACCGCCGCCGCCTCGACGCCGCGGTGGTGCTGGAGGCCTCCGTCGTGGCCGCCTGCAGGAATGGGGCCACGGCCATGCGGAACTCCTGCTTGAAGCGGTTCAGGTTCACTTTCGAGTCCTGGAACAGAGAGTCGCACGAGCGCGCGCGGAGCGGCGGGGAGCGCAAGACGGTTTCAGGAAGAGCAACAGCAGATTTAAGACAATCATCCATACCCCCTCCGAACGCTTCAATCTACTGTCATGCATTTCAAAATATTGCACGTCCAGGATCGGGCAAAGGATGCAAATATGTATCTGAAAAGTTACAATATGTACCGGGTGTTTCATAAAAGACACAGGTCGGAACGGGTTTGCCTACCCAAGGAGCTATGGCGCCTTGTGGGCAGAGTGGTTAGGCAAACCCGTTCGCACCTGTGTCTTTTATGAAGCATTCGGTACCAAAGCCTAGGTAGAGATAACTTTTTTTGTGTGTCTAGTTTAGAGACACATTTCCATCCGATTGAGATGTTCTTAAGAACGCATTCTCGCTAGATGCAAAATTGTCCTTGCCCAGTTAGAGTGCTCCCATGCGAGATGCACGATCAAGGATATTATGTTCTTTGCAAAATGTGGCGAGTCGCACTCTTATTTTTCCATTGAATTAATGCATTCTGTGCGTTCTGTTGCACAGCTGACCGACCTGCATTGCCGAGTCGTACTCCCTCCGGAAGAGGCGCCCGATGCCGATGGAGTTCCGCTGCAGGATGCCGAACAGCTCTTGCCGGGAGATCCGGTACGGAGCCTCCGTCGTGGTCGTCGTGGTGGACGGCGTTGAGGAGGACGTTGATCCCTGCAGCAGAACGCGAGCGCCCACAGAGCTAGCTTAACGACACCCAGGATGACGCTGGCGGTGGCGACAGACGGTGGAGACGGGGGCCTCCACCCCCTGCTTTGCAGCGCGCGTATCCCGGGTACAGGGTGAGTCAATCGCGGCCAAAGGGCGCAATGGTAAACTTCGGTCGCCTTTGAGTTTGGTTGGTTGCCTACAATTGAGGTGCCTACCAAACTTGATCTTGCAAGATCCCTCTTTACATACATACATACATACATACATACATACATACATTGCAAGTTTAATTTTCTCAGTCTGGCATGGCATAGTCTTGGCTAATCTTCAATCCCCTCCACCCTTCGCCCGTCCCCTCCCCCGGGGGAGCAGCCCAAAGCCGCACTATAACTTTCTCATCCCGGACGGGAGTACGCGATCCGCCGGAAGGTCTACATTATCGGCAACAGAGCGCGGGGGAGAAAGGGAGTATCTGTGGGTGGTACCCTTCGTCTTCCTGACAAACACACTCTCCCTCCCTCCCTCCCTCCCTCCATTCTCCGTCCTCCCCTCACACTCTCTTAGGCCGGAGTGAGGCGAAGGGTGAAGGAGTGGAGCAGCCCTAAGTTGTCGGCCACAAAGTACCGTTTGATTTGAGCGCCACCCACGCGCGGGCGAGTAACGGCAGTTTCAGGAGTGAGCCGACAGAGCGCTAGAGCTAGCGCGGGGGTCAGGATGGGTGCGGGCGGGTAGCCTAGCCTGGCCCCCCGCCTAGCCTTAACAGGGGCGGAGCGGGGCGAACCTGTCTCAAGTGGACTGCAATTATACCAGCATTTACAACTACTAATGAGAGGGGCAGGGAAGCTGGGGAAAGGGGGAGGCGAGGCAACGCAGGGGGAGGCTCCCTACAGCAGCGCGCGGGGAGTCCTGGCTGAGAGGCGTGGAGCGGG